CTTTAAGACTTGTGGACTTCAACTCCCAGAATTCCTCCTCTCGCTCTTCATCTTGATGATGTGCGGGCGGGCGGAAAGATTTAACCCACCCCCACCCGAATGGTATGAATGTTGTGTTCTTTTTAATTATGTATTGTTCTTATGTGTCATTGTTTGTATCCCCTTCCCCATGAGTTGTAAGCCGCCCTGAGTCCCCCCAGGGAAAAGGGCGGCCTATAAATAAACTTTCAATTCAATTCAATTCAATTTCAGTGTTTTCAAATGAGCAACCAAAAGCTATAGAGCAGTGATGGTCACTAGGAAATATCACACATGCACATGTGTAATTGTTGGAGGAAAGTCCGGAAAAGCCGAACTTACGGGTTCTAGCATGCCGGACGATCAGCTGGCCTCATGCATAGGTCAGTTTTTGGCACTGCTGCAAGTGCCAAGGATTGTGCTCCGGAAAAGCTGAACTTCTGTGTTCTGGCGTGCATGTGCACCCAGCAATCAGCTGGCCGGCACCCCTGCATACACTGGTTTTTGGCACTGTTACACACGCAAAAGACAGCTGATCATTGCACGCGAATGCACGCCAGAAACCCAGAAGACAAACAGGCAAGGCCAGGCAACATGGCTTTGTGTGTCACTTTGGGCATGCCATAGGTTCGCCATCAAGGCTATAGAGAGTTACGTGTAATTCCCTTAAGAGGAAAGCTATGAATTTTGTTTTCTTCTTTTTAACATACAAAAAAACCCCTGCATTTAAAACTGTAAATAGTATAAAGAGGTCTATTGATCTTCTCTTCATCCCTCATCTCTTTTTAACCCCATTTTTCTATCACCTACCGCCTCTTTGTCAATAATCACTCTTTTTTCAGTGTGTACCGGGGTGGGTTTCTGCTGGCATTACTGCCGGTTCAGTGCGTGCGCAACTTTGCCCATAAATAGGTCTGCGCATGCGAAGAACATTAAAAATGAAAAAAAAAACCTATGCCATGCTGACTGAATAACCAAGCTGTGGCAGGTCTGGGTCACTGCCGGTTCCGGTGACCCAGCACGCCAAATCACTACCTCTGATGTGTACATATATGTATGTATGGACATATGTATATCTATCTATTCATATACCTTCTTATAATATAAAATCTATCTTTTGTCTGTTATTTACCCCAAAGGTATCTGCAGATTGCGGTCCCATAGATGGCAGCTCCAACATAGCTTAGTAGAGTGTGAGCCCATGGGGCAGAAAAACAACTGCAGCTTTGATTCCACCATGGTTAGGACCTTGACTTTTTTTTTTAATCATGTTCTGTGGATATGCCTGCACTTATCTCTACCATGCATTTATCTCTTATCTCTCTTTCCTTCCATGCATCCACTTATCACCTATATACCATCTACCTTTTCAACTATCTCTTCCCATCATTTATCTCTATCTATGTATCCATTTCTCGGCTATTTTGTGTGTATCACTTCACCTATCTACTACATATTTACCACATACAGTATCTTTCTTTCATCTGTCTACCAGCTGTCTATCGATCCTTCTCTCCGCCAAAAAAAAAACAACCCCATTTATCTTCCAATGCGGGGCTCTTTACAAAACGTGCGAAGCTCAGCAAGATCTTCCAAGTTCTGCAGCTGAGCCGGCTTTCCCCCTTTTTTTTCGGAACGGAGGATTCCTCGTTGATTTGGCGCCCCCGGTGGACAAGAAGGGCCGGTGCAACCGGTTCATTCCCGGTGTCAACGAGACGCCTTTTAAGTACCGTACAAGCAAGAATTCAAACGTGAGACACTGCGGCGCGCGTGCATGTCTCCGAGAGTCTTTGTGGGTGGATTTCCAGGGCCAGCGGTGCCAGACAAAATAATAAGGGTTTGTTTGGGGTAAAAGCCGTTCGGGAAGACGGTGGGTGGCTGGGAAAGGTCTGAGGTTTGAGGGATCGTTTGCCCACGTTCAATAGACTCTCTCGAAATAAAAAGCAACCTTTTCAAAATTAAAAGTTCAGCTTCGGTTATTAAGGAGACTGCATTCCCTGGGGGAGCTGTTGCTTTTCTCTGGACAATATTATAAGAGCTTTGGGTTGTTTTTTTAACCCCCCCCCCCTTCCAAACCCGGGCAACCGTCGCGCCTTAGCGAAAGTGGCTGCAGCCGAGGACGGAACTCCTTATAAATCCTTTCAAATTGGAGGGAATAATCATAAGAATAACAACACGCGTGTGCGTGTCCGTGGCAACCTCAAAAGGCGGGTGGGCTGCCGCTTAGGAAAAGCCCATCCTACTACGGTGCGGAATTTTTCGCTCCTCCGACTATAAACCATAACAGGGCTTCTGGATTACGAGAGAATGAATAGATGGGTGTTCCTGATTTTTTGTTATTGTTAATCGCAGGACGATTTTCTTTTTATTAACCCTCCGTGGGGACTCGGACTCACGGAAGCGTGAGCCAGGTGAGAGTTTCTTCTCGGACGCCCCGTTCTGTGGCGCAGCGCCCCAAAACTGAGGCATTTCTGAGGAAAGTCGGGCAGGTCTTTGGCGCCAAATTGCTGCAGGTTTGCGAGCTGCGGGGGGGAGGCTGCTGCTAAATGGCGCCTTCTGTGTCTGTGTGGGTTTTTTTGGGAGGGGGGGGTTATTATTACTGTTTTATTGATGTTCGGCGGCGGGGCTTTACCGCCGGAGAAAGAGGAAGGGGGAAGCCCTCTCCCGCCTGCCGATCATGGCGGCTGCCTTGCGCCCCCGCCTCGCGTCTCCCCCCCCCACCCCACGCCCCGAATTCCCGCTTCCGACGCAGCGCTCAGCCCTGCTGAGAATGACCTTCCCCACCGCCGCCAGGTTAGCGACGCGCGAGCCAGGCGCGCCCAGGAATTCCCGCCCTGCGCTCGTAAGCGCCCCCCCCCCCCAAGTTTCACTGATGCATACCCAAACCCGCCTCCCCTTGATTGGCCGAAGCCGGGCTTTCATTTGAAAGAGCCGCCCCTCTCATTGGCTCCGACGCATGTAAATGAGAGAACCTTCCCTTCTCTCGGTGTGCGTGTGTATATGTATGTGTGTGTTTTTTTTTCGCTCCTTGGGCGCGCTGCCTCCCCCCTCCTCCACCGCCGTATCATCCCTGTGAATTTTTCAGACAGTAACTCGCCGCCTGTCTTTACTATAAGCAAATAGTTCCTCGCCCCCGCCCGCCGTATTTACAATGGGGCGAGGTTCCGCAGTCCCCTCTTTGAGCTTAAAAGACAGAGAGGGCGGAGTCTTTCCGGACCTATTCCAAGCGGTGGGAGGGGAAGAGGGAGCGAGAGAAAGACGCGTACCCGCCGATTCCCCCTCTGGCGGAGGGATACGGATTGGAGAGATCCGTGTCTGTGTTTTTTTTTCCTTCCCCCACCAAAATATTGAGAGTTAAGAGGCCGCTGCTGCGTGCAGCGGAGATCAGAAAGCGAGCGGTGCCAGTCGGAGGCTGAGCTGTTCCTGCTGCTGTTCCTGCCGCCGCCGCTCCACAACGACCGCCTCACTGCGGCGCTACATCCTGGACTGGATTTTATCGATTCCTCCTCGCGTTGCTCGCGTGGGTTTCTTTGGTCGACACGACCCGAGACAGCCCGCCTGCCTGCTTGAAAAAGACCCCAAGAAACCGACTCATCTTTTTTTCTACTCGCGTTAACCTCTTTTCCTAATAAAAGATTGGCGTGTGGATATTTTTCCCCCCTTCTCTCCCCCTCCCTTAAGGACATCTATCCGTTTCCCTGGGATTCTCTGACGGACTTGCAAGTTTCCTTTCCATCCGAAAGGGTCGGCAGAGGAGGAGAAGAAGAAGGAGAGACGGGGGGTGGGGGGACCCGGCTTTTGCCAGCGAGGCTTTTCCCTCCGATCCGAACGGGGAAGGAGCTACGCCGCCGGCCCCTCTTCAGTTGGCCCGCCGCAGCAAGCCGGCTTGACCGAAGAAGCTTTTGCTTCGTGATCGTTGTGGGTTGTTGTCGTCGGGGTTTTTATTTTCCTCCCCGCCTTCCGTGGTATCGCTTGGGAAGATGTTACTCTCCAAATTTGGGTCCCTGGCTCATCTTTGCAACCCGACCAGCATGGATCACTTGCCGGTGAAGATCCTCCAGCCAGGTAAACAATTTCCCGAGAGTTGCCGTCCGCCCTGGTCCGCTCCTCTTTGCGGGGGACGGCCCGTGTGCGTTGCGTCGTGTGTCGTGTGTTGTGTGTGTGATGTGCGTGTCGAGGTTTCCTCTCCCTCCCCCCTTTTCCCGCGTCAGCCGTGGAACGGTGGATCCCAGCGATCGACTTGAGTCATTCATCCGTCGTCTTTTTTAAAACCTCTGCAGTTGTTGGAAGGGGGGGGGGAGTTGGCTTGTTTCCCCCGGTTATCCTAAGCGGGAAATTAGGGCGGCTGGGCAAATATTTTGTACCGAAGGATGAAGGGGGGAAAAAAACTGGAAAGACGTTTTGCCAGGGGCTGGCAGAACTGACTCGCAAAACCCCGGACGGCCACGAGGGGGAGGCAGAGATTTAGACGTTTTTTAGCGGCCAACATTTTTGCAACCAATTTTTACAACCCCCGTCCATTCAATTCCCAAATCTGGGCTTGGCCGCACTTTGGTCCAATGTTGCTGGTGACTTTAAAAAGAAATGTTCAGGAGGGTTGAGAGTAAGATGCGCTTTTCTCCCCCCACGACGCCAGGTTGAGATTGGTTTGTCTGTCTGAACTGCTGTCCGCCCCCCCCCCCGCCCCCAAATATCTCTTCCTTAAGGCTTTCCCTCTGTTTTTTCTCACCCTGCTTTCTCTTTTTCTTCCCCTCTCCAGTGAAAGTGGAAAAGGAGCCGTTCGATAAAATCTATCAAGTGGGCTCAGTCCTCGGCAGCGGGGGATTTGGCACCGTCTATGCTGGGAACAGGATTGCAGATGGCTTGCCGGTAAGAGGAGGCTCTTGAGCCACAACCCCCCCTTCCTTCTCCGCCCCCAACCACGAGGCTCGGGGTTGCTACCACCCACCCACCCATTTTGCGTGGCTGGAAATTCCAGCTGTGGAATCCAGAGCAAGAAATCCCGGGCAAGTTCTCTTCATGCCGACCAACAGGCATTGGGCTTGGTCTCTCCCCCCCCCCCTTTCCCTCATATCCCTCAATTCAATTTGTAGACTGGTTTCCCTATAACCTCCGTTTTTTTTTCCTCCCTGCTTCCAGGTCGCTGTAAAGCATGTCGTGAAGGAGCGAGTAACCGAATGGGGAACAATTGTAAGTACCCAAGGATGGATCCCAAAATGTATATGTGGTGTGCGTGGCTGCCTGCACCTTGCAGTAGTTTCCAACTGCTTTTCTCTCCCTGTATTAATAACAGACGGCTGATGATTGTTTCCATGGATTCCCCTTTCCCCACCCCGCATGCTGCTGCCTCTCCATTCTCTGTTATTGTTTACATTGAGGGGGGGATTTTGGCAGGGTTTCTTCTCCTCCTCCTCTTCCCCCTCTGCCCTCCCCTTTTGACTGCGGCAGCAGAGACACCCAGTGGAGTAGCTGCAGCCTTCCCCATCGGTCTAGCTAGCTGCTTAGCCCTCCCCCTTCCCGTCTTCCGCCTGGCTGCTGGAATTTCCATTTTGAGAAAGAAGTGTATGATTTGTTTTTGGATGGGCAAGGAAGGGGATTTTCCCTCCTTCCTCCCCTCCCGTTTCCGATAATTCCGAATAATTCATCATGTCTTCCTTTGCTCTTTCTCCCTCCGTCTCTCTCTCCCTCCTTCCCTACCCCTCCTCCTTGTAGGGTGGAGTAATGGTGCCCTTGGAAATAGTCCTGCTGAAGAAAGTGGGTTCGGGCTTCCGAGGGGTAATTAAGCTGCTCGACTGGTACGAGAGGCCTGATGGCTACCTGATCATCATGGAACGGCCAGACCTGGTGAAGGATCTCTTTGACTTCATTACGGAGAAGGGGGCGCTGGATGAGGACACCGCACGGGGCTTCTTCCATCAAGTCCTGGAAGCAGTGCGCCACTGTTACAGCTGCGGGGTGGTACACAGAGACATCAAGGACGAGAATCTTCTAGTGGATCTCAGGACAGGAGAACTGAAGCTGATCGATTTTGGGTCTGGAGCCATCCTCAAGGACACAGTCTACACTGACTTTGATGGTATGCGCCCCTCCCAACCGCAGCCAATCCCTGTGTGTGTGGATGGGTGGGTGGATGAGTGCTTAATTGGGAAAGCATCCCGGCACAAACCCCCTCATTCTTAATCACATTCTCACCACCTACGGCTGACAAAATATATTTTTGCTGTTTTGCTGCTGCAGTCAGTAGCAGGTTGATAATTAAATCCTTCGCAGTGGAGGCAGCTGGAAGGGGGGGGGGTGTCAAGTTGTTTAGGAAAGGAGCAATTCCAGGCAGTGACGCAGGAGTTTATATTTTCCCTGCCTTCAAAAAAATAAAAATAAAGGCATTTTCCTAGAGGGCGATGTGTTTACAGTTGAGTCAAGCTTGTGTGTTTCCATCTGCTTTTCTTAGTGCTTCCCCCCTACTCTGCTGTCCCCCTCCACACACACACACCTAGTTTTCTCCTTTCCCCAGCTCCTCATTCTCATGTGATGTTTCGGAAACCCCCGCATTGCAGATTGAGGGACCTGAGGGGGAAAACATCTAAAAAAGAAGTTTTTTTTCTTTTCCTTTCTTAAAACTTACACACTGAAACATGGGTTGCCTCCTTTTGTTATAAGAAAGACATGATCTCTTGCTTTTTGCCTAAGCCTCGGCAAGATTTTCTTCCTTTCAAGGTGAAGGTGATCCACGTGAAGGAGGCACCGTTTTCACCTCCCTTCCCTAGTCAGCTGCAGCATTTAACATCTGTTTGTTGTGAAACGAGAGTCTCCTGGCCATGTGACCTTCAGCATCACAAATTCCAGTTTTCATTTGGTATCCAAGTAACCACTCGGTGCAGAGGGAGGGCAGTTGCTAACTGCCTTCTTAATGCGGGAGGCAGATTTCACTCTTCTTTTACTCTGATTTTTCTCTATTTTTATTTTTTTTTAAAAGAGGGGGGAAGCAGCATACTTTTAGAACTGGCCAAAACTGATTAGTCACATTTAGGAGCCAAGGTTGGAGTTTCACCTCACCCCCCTTCCTTTCCTGCCTCTCTTCTTTCATCCCCTCTTCCTTTGTCCTTTTGTGTCTATTTTTGGTACGGTGCTGCAGACGCCACGTGGTCAAGGAAAGGGAGCTTTATGTTAGTAAACAGTCAGCTGATGGGAAGCTTGTACTGCTCATTGCCGCAAAATAGAACCACCCCGAGGGCTGAGATTAAAGCATGATATAATCCCAGGGGTGATGTAAGGTCCAGAATTTTCCCATATATGTTTGTGTGCTTTGGGGAAGGGTTTTTTTTTTTTTAAATGGGATTTTTGAAGTGGCAAAGCATAAAATATGCTCCCAAGTTGAAAGTTCATCTTGTTCTAATAGGGCAAGGGGCCTTTGTTTTTTTCCTCCCCACAGGAACACGCGTGTACAGCCCTCCAGAATGGATTCGCTATCACAGATACCATGGGCGGTCAGCTACTGTATGGTCCCTGGGTGTTTTGCTCTATGACATGGTCTGCGGGGACATCCCTTTTGAGCAAGATGAAGAGATCTTGAGAGGACGCCTGTATTTCAGGAGACGAATTTCCCTGGGTGAGCTGAGATTTACAGATCTCCACGTCCCCCCCTCCTACAACCCCCTACCCTCCCCCCGTTATTCTGCCCACTGATCATTTTCGGTGGCTGACCTGCTGTCCCTCTTGTCTTTTCAGAATGCCAACAATTGATCAAATGGTGCCTTTCTCTGAGGCCTTCAGACAGACCGACCCTTGAGCAAATTTTTGACCACCCGTGGTTGCACAAATCCGAAGTTGCGAAGTCGGAAGATTGTGACATAAGGTTACGGACCATTGGCACAGACGTGTCTCGCACAAGTTCGAGCAACGAGAGCCTGTGAAATAACGGAGGACCTTGTCAAGGGAGGGGAGCCACAAGGAGAGAAAAAGAGGGGGACAAAAAAAAGACCAGAGTGCTGCTGCTGCTGCCAATATGTAGAAGGGGGTGGGGGCGGGGGAGGGGGGATGCATTAATTATTCTGTACTTTGAATCTTTGTCGGAGGGAATTGATTTTTTTTTAAAAAAAATTTCCCCTTATTGCTGGTTTCTGCTTCAGAATGAAATTTCCTTTGGAAACGCTAATATATAGGAGTTGGCAGGCCAGTACTTAACCCAAAAGACTGACCTTAATATAATTATTATTTTTTATTATTATTTTTATTAAGAAAAGCAGTGACCTCTTTAAATAACATGGTAAACCTTTTTGCTCTCATAGAGCCTGGACTAAATTTCATTTGCTTTTTTGAGTGCCTTTTTGAAAGCTGCTTCAGTGGGACTTTCTTTTTTGAGCTGTGTGTGTCCAAAGAAGATCCAGTACATTATAGAACCTGCCTTCCCTTCTCCATTCTAGGTGCTGGGGAAGCAGCTCCCTATGATGCACTAGAAAAACATGTCCAGTGACTGAATGAAGTAGTCCCATCAGCTGATGATGGAATACTTGAACACAGACATTTCATCCTCTTCTTTCCCAGCCTTTCTCTCCTCCCTTCCGTCCCCAGACCCCAACAAAACAACCTCTGCTGATCCACACAATATTTCCATAGCCTGCACAGGTTATCAGCTCTTTACCAGGAACATTTACCCATACTTCATTTCATCTCTACCACTGGGCACAAGAAAAAAGGCCCTTTCTCAGTTCCCCCAACCTCCAAGTCTTAAAAAAAAAAGTATGAATGGGCATGTTAAATGCACAATCAATGCAATATTCAAGGACTGTGTGCGTGTGGGTTTTTTCTTTCTTTTCCCATTACCTGTATAATGTGTTTATGTAAAAAAATTCTCCCCCTGTACTATACAAGTTTTATTTATTGTCTGGAGTTTAGAAAAACCTCTCACAGACATCAGCTGTGGCTATTTATTTTAGCTAATTTATTTGTTTAGAATTATGCAACACTGCTTTTATCTCTCTTCTGTTGTGGAGATTTCTCTGGGATCAGTCGACAATTATTTTTGCATTCCTGTCTTTTCCTCTTTTGGGGGTAGGGGTGGGTTGTTGACAAAGAACTATATAAAGCCTGACCATACCTGTTCTTTTTTTCCTTCATTTTTGGTTGGAAGATAGAAAAAAAATGTTGTACAAAGTCTAATTTAAGGGAATTAGAATGACTTTAAAAGTTAGTATGCCTTTTTTGTCTGGTATTATTGACATACCAGAACTGTAAAGTAATGCTGTTTTTGAAGGGTTTTAAATTATTGACATTGTACAGTCTTTGTGCATCGGCTCTGGAAGGAAGAGTGGCAGAGTCATAAACCTTAATTTATTTTAATAGATGTGTGTTCTGTAATCTGGTTGCACTTATGCAGCTTGGATTTGGATTTTTTTTTTCCTTCTGTTTAACAGTGTGAAATGTATGGAGATCATATTTTTTTATACAGGTATTTCAATTAAACTTTTTTGTAGATAAGTGGCATGATGTGTTCATTTGAGTTCAACAGTGGCACCTCCAAGGAAGCACCTTGACACATTTGTACAGATTTACACACACAAAAGGGACGCAGTGGCTCAGTGGCTAAGACGCTGAGCTTGTCGATCAGAAAGGTTGGCGGTTTGAATCCCTAGCGCCACGTAACGGAGTGAGCTCCCATTACTTGTCCCAGCTTCTGCCAACCTAGCAGTTCAAAAGCACATTAAAAAAAATGCAAGTAGAAAAATAGGAACCACTTTTGGTGGGAAAGTAACAGCGTTCGGTGAGGCTTCGATGTTCAGTCATGCCAGCTGCATGACCACGGAGACGGCTTTGGACTGCGCTGGCTCTTTGGCTTTGAAACGGAGATGAGCACCGCCCCCTAGAGTCAGGAACGACTAGCACATATGTGCAAGGAGAACCTTTACCTTACACACAAGTTAAGTTCCACAAATGTCAGTAGCAATTTGGATAGAGGGATGTAATCTTCACGCATCGCCCACAGATAGAAATGATCCTCAATTATCAGGATAGGCCAGTGGAGAAATTCCCTGATCTTTGGAATTGAAGTGAATACATTTAAAAGTTTTCAGCGAACATCACATATACTCTTGACAAAGAGGTTGCCGTAGGGAATGTGACAAGTGAGAAGAATGCCCCCCCCCTTTTTGAGCTCCCAATATGCTCTTTACCACTTTCTGGGTAGCTGCTCCACTTCCAAACAATGGAGTGACATGTAAGCGCCTATCCATTTGTCTTCCAAGAAGGAAGGGTTGACTCGCCTTCCATCCTTCCGAGGTGGGTGAAATGAGGACCCAGACTGTGGGGGCAATATGCTGACTCTGTAAACCGCTTAGAGAGGGCTGAAAGCCCTATGAAGCGGTATATAAGTCTAACTGCTATTGCTAAGAATGCTTCTGGGCTCTGCTTGAAGTCAAGAGATGCTTTCGTGGAGAACTGCAGTTTCCCTTTGTGGCTGCTATTTTCCAAAGTTCAGGAATTAACTGTTTTTGGAATTAAAAACCTTAAATGTGTGCCATGGAGATTGGTAGGTAGGATCCCAATGGGCAAGTCAAGTCCGGATGTCACAACTGCAAAATTGAAACCGCCACCACCACCAATGATTTGCCTCTATCGTGTACAAAAGGGTTTTAGACATGCAGTTGTGGCTGCCATGTTGACTTTTCACAATCTGACCCCACCCAACCCCGTAGTCCCTCTGCCAGTGGTGGGTGGTAAAGGAGGTACCCTACTAAACTCCATCGTTCCCCATCATTGCCTATATTGGAGACTTGGAATAAAATATAGGCCCATGAGGATACTGATGACAACTGCAGGTTATCCAATTCGTTCATCCATAGCTTGTAACCATTTATAGTCTCCTCTTTCATTCTCTTAAGGTGAACAGATTCGCCCAACTTACAAAGTAGTCCCTGTACTAATTAATACACATGCACTGTATGGCATATGGAGCTTTTATCGACCAATCGTGCCTGCCGTTTTGGTGTGGCGCTCCCACCCAGTATGAAACTCCTGCAAATACCACATTCGTAATTCCAAATACACATTTTGGATGTTATTAAAATGCTTTTCTCATTCTGTAGCCCTCCAGCTGCATTAAGTGATGATGAGGCGCCAGGTTGGGGAATGTTCCAGAGGCAAAACTTTACATGACAGACCTGTTTTGAGACAGGACTCTTGTATTTTCATTAGATATGTTTGCACAACATGCTAAGCCAGAAAGTCTGGCGAGCATGCAGGTGCCTTAATTTTACCCTGTATGACACGCAGCTCTTTAATCAACAACTTAGGTTTACCAGGTTGTCCAATCCCCCAAAATCTTCCATATTAGAATGACACACATGAGACTATGAAACCTTCAGCCAAACCAAAGTTCCATCTCAAACTTTTCAAACTTCCATCTCAAACTTCATATATCATTGTAAGTTGAAGTCTGTTTAAAGTCTTGGGGTACAGGCAGAGTCTTGGTATTTCTTTTTTAAACAATCTGATAATTAGAACTGTAGAAAAAACAATTACTGCCAACCTGCCTTCCATTGAGGATCTGTACACTGCATGAGTCAAAAAGAGGGCCATGAAAATATATACAGACCCCTCGCCCCATCTGGACATAAACTGTTTCAACTCCTACCCTCAAAACAATGCTATAGAGCACTGCACACCAAGACAACTAGACACAAGAACAGTTTTTTCCCTGAACACCATCACCCTGCTAAACAAATAATTCCATCACCACTGTCAAACCATTCACTAAGGTTGCATTACTATTACTATTAGTATTCTCATCTCATCTGAGAATATTAATAGTAATAGTAATTCAACCTTAGTGAATGGTTTGACAGTGGTGATGGAATTATTTGTTTAGCAGAGTGATGGTGTTCAGGGAAAAAACTGTTCTTGTATCCTTATGATTTATATTGATATTGATTGTTTCCTGAT